ATAATTCCCAATCATAGAGCCTGAGAGATGGCTCAGTAGTTAAGAATGGTTCTCATAGTTGGGCAGTGGTGGCACATGCCTTTAATCCCAGCACTCAGGAGGCAGAGGCAGATGGATCTTTGTGAGTTTGAGGCTAGCAGCCAGAGATACACAGTGAGCCTCATGTGTGTTTGATAATGATGATGATGTGTGTCTCTGTGCGTGTAGACGTCAGAGGACAGCTTTGTGGAATTGGTCTTCTCCTCCTACTTCTGTATGGGTTTCAGGGATCCTGCTTACTTGCCAAGTACCTTTACATGCTGATCCATTTTAACAGCCCATAAAGACTACAATTTCTATTTTCCTCAAATAAAGTAACAGTCTTTCAAAACTCAACCTCTTTATTTTTCCCTTTAAGCATACGTTATATCTAAGATTCTCAAATACTTAAGAACCTCATGCAGAGGTTATAGATAGGGTACAATATTTAAGAGTAAGAACTGGAGCCAGCCTTCCTGGATAGACATATCCTAATGAAAGACCCTAGCCCTTCAGGCTTACACCCCCGAGCCTCAGGAAAAGAGAAACTTGAAGCACCAGGAAATGAGAAACTAAAAATCTAGTTCCAAGAGCAAGTTGACTCAGCCATTGTTCAATCTCCCCTGTAACAATGTAACAATGTAAAAAGATTTCTGTTAAGAGATGTGCTCAACTGTGACTGGGATAGTTGCAGGTGTTCCAGGAAGGACCACTGTGACCTTTGTGTAAACTCCACTCCTGCCCTGATACCCCCCTTGAGGTTTCAGGAAGAATGTACCTGTTGACATAACTGTACCCCCTCTGTGATTACTCTGTAACCAGACCATGATCTTAGAAAATTAGCCTCTAGACATAAATCAATCCATATGAAATTGTATGGGAATTGTAATCTTGTGGGTTTTTCCTTTAAAAGCCCTCATGGGGCTACAGTAAGATGCGGCTCTTGCTCTTAGGAGCAGAGTTTGCCCTTCTATATAGAAGCTTTAATAAAAATCTCTTGCTATTGCATCAACTGGACTGGAGTCTGGGTTCTTGGGGCGCCCACTCGAGACCCTCAGATTTTGGGGTCCAACACTAATTTTCCTAGTTTCCAGTAGTGTTACTTAGAGCAAATGACTTAATTGTACTCTGCCTCTGTTTTCTCTCTCTCTTTCTCTTCTTGTTGTTGTTCTTTTGTTTTGTTTTTTTTCGAGACAGGGTTTCTCTGTATAGTTTTGGTGTCTGTCCTGGATCTCTGTAGACTAGGCTGTCCTCGAACTCACAGAGATCTGCCTGACTCTGCCTCCCAAGTGCTGGGATTAAAGGCATGCGCCACCACCGCCCGGTGCATTTTCTCGTCTGTAAGATGAAAAATAGTACCTCCCTTAAAGGGATGTTAAGATATTAAACAAGAAAATAAAGTTTCTCTTTAATCTTATCTTTGTCTAGTCCTAATCCATTTTTCTGGTATCCTGTGTGTAGTATAGAATAAGAAACACTCCTAGTTAGTTACTTTAGCCCATCCAGATGGCAAGATGGTTAGGACATATAACCGAAAACATGGAGGTTACTATTAGTAAAATCCTTCCTTGCTAATTTCCTCATACTATAATTCCCAATCATAGAGCCTGAGAGATGGCTCAGTAGTTAAGAATGCTTCTCATAGTTGGGCAGTGGTGGCACATGCCTTTAATCCCAGCACTTGGGAGGCAGAGTCAGGTGGGATCTCGGAGAGTTTCAAGGCCAGCTTAGCCTACAGAGAATGCTTCTCACTCTTCCACAGGATATGAATTCAGTTCTCAGTACCCATACTGGGCACCTCACAAACACCTATAACTCCAACTTCAGGAGATCCAATGCCCTGATCTGGCCTCTGTGGGCTCCCATACATATGTGGCAGACACACAGAGAATCACATGCCCATAAATGAACATTAACATTACCAATCAATACGAACACCGGAAGTCAGATAAGTACCCACAGGAAAAAGTTACCTTCATGTTGTCCGTGGATGATGTTCAGTGTTCCATCGGGGGCACCAGAATCCTGAAGCAACTTAGCAAGAAGCATTGTTGCTCCAGGTACTCGCTCTGATGGCTTCATTAGGAAAGTATTTCCACAAACCATAGCCATGGGAAACATCCAAAGGGGGATCATGGCAGGAAAATTAAACGGGGCAATGCCTGCACACACGCCCAGAGGCAGACGGTAGGAATAAAGGTCCATGTCTTTGGTGATAGACGGCATGGTCTCTCCCAGCATGAGGGATGTCACACTACAGGCATGCTCAACCACCTCTGGAAGAGAGAAGACAAAGACTGAACACTACTTAGCTTTTGTCATGCTCTAGTCAATCCTGAAAATAAGGGGTGGGTCAGACCAATGATGGGATTTGTCCTTCCATGTGGGAAGATTAGATAAACAGATTCTCTGAGGGGGTAAGAGAGACAGTGAGATGCATATTTGTTCTGAAACATCATTTGAGCTTACAAACAAACAAACAAACACTCCAAACCAAATTAGTCTCAAAGGTACCAAACAAGCATTGTCTTTAAAAATGTTTTAAAAGGTATTGCTGGGCCGGGAGGTGGTGCACACCTTTAATCCCAGCACTCAGGAGGCAGAGGCAGATGGATCTTTGTGAGTTTGAGGCTAGCAGCCAGAGATACACAGTGAGCCTCTGCCTCAAAGGAAAAAAAAAACAAAAAAACAAAAAACTGTCATGGAATATTACTTTAACTATGTAAAGATGTGGTACTTTTGTTTATGTTGAAAAATATTACTTTATCTATGTAAAGGTGTATTACATTTGTTCGTGCTGCATTTGTTTAACAATCTAAAGATGTGTTGCTTTGCCTGCCTAAGGCATCTGATTATTCTAATAAAAAGCCAAAAGGCCAATAGGTAGGCAGAGGAGGGAGAGGCAGGGCTGGAAGACAGAGAGAGTAAGGAGGAGGAGGAATCTAGGCTTGGGATAAAGAGAGAGAACGAGGGAGAAAGAGAGTGAGACATCCGAGGTCAGCCAGCCAGACAGCTGCCAGCCAGTCAGATATGGAGTAGGACACACAGAATGAAAGAAAGGTCAAAAGCCCCGGGGTAAAACAGAGATGATGAGAAACAGGTTAAATTAAGTTATAAGAGCTAGTGGGCCAAACATAAGATTAGGTCCAGCCTTCATAACTAATAATTAGTCTCCATATCAAGATTTTGGAGCTGGTTGGTGGCCCAAAAGCAAGTCTGCTATAAAAACCAAATCGAAACGAAGAAAAAACAGAGAGAGAGAAAGAAGGGAAAAGTTACCACAGGATAGCAAAATCTACAAAGAAAGAATCAACCTCCCCATTCTGGGGTATGTCTCCCATCTTCTTTTGACCTCTCCCCCAAGTCCCCTGAGGGGCTCCCAGCTTACGAAGGCCTCGGAATACATCTCCTTCAGCATCAGCTAGAGTCTTCCCTTGTTCCATTGTGATTAACCTGGCAATTTCTTTCTAGAGAGAAAACACACAAATAGAAACTAATCCAAGGATGTTCCTTTATTTACTTACTTTCTTGATGTTGGGGATGTACGTTATGATTTTGTTGGTGGTGGTGATGATTTTTTTTTGGCAACAATGTATCATGTAGCCCAGGCTAGCCTCAAACTCACTCTGTAGTTGAGGCAGGTCTTGAACTCAGGATCTTCATGCCTCCACCTCCCCAGTGCTGGGATTACAGGTATGAACCACCATGCAGGCTGAATTCAGGGTCTTGCTCATGTTCACTAAGCACATACTCTGTCACTGAGCTCTACACCCAGCCCCTATTTTCCTCCAAGGACAGACGAAACAGAGAGAACTCACAAGGCTCAATGTCCTCCCTATTGTGGAGTCTTTGAAGAGGTGACCAACATACCCTAGGAAACAGGCTGGGCTACCACCCAGGGTTCTTACCAGGTTTTCTTTGATAAGCTGTTGGTAGCGGAGCAGGACCTGCTGACGGCTCAAGATCGATGTGTCTGCCCAGGCAGGGAAAGCGCGCTTGCAGGCAGCAACAGCTGCCGCCATTTCAGCCTTGGTGGACTGAGGGACCCGGCCGATGACCTCATTGGTGGCCTGAAAAGAAGCCATCCCATTTTGCCAGGGCCTCACCTTCCCCACATTGGCCTACTCACAGGGGCAACACTGTGCTTTGTGGTAGAGCCCCGAGCCCCCACCCTGTCCCTTGCTCCCCAAATTCTAGGCTACTAGGTTGAAGTCCAGAAAAGTTTTGCTTACTGGGTTGTGGATGTCAATCCATTTGTCGGTTTTGGATTCAACAAATTTCCCATCAATGAAGAGTTTTACAGTTGGCTAGAGAAAGAAATACACACATAAAAAAAAAGCCTTTATATGAATTATTTTGCTTCTCTTTCTGTGAGGAAGGAATGTTGATGGATAATTGGATCTACTTGCTGAGCCATCTCTAACCCTTTCCCTACCAAAAATTTAAACTTCCAGTAGCAATGGAAATATTTGTATGTTATGACAGTAAAGTTCAAGACAAATAATCCAAAAGAATTTTTAAAAACTACAGAAGAATGCTTATTTCACAATACTGAAAAACCTGAGGAACACTAAATGTTCTATGAAGGAAATAAAGTTACATACGTCAGATGGAATATTATGCAGCCATTAAAAATTGTAATTATAAAGAATATCTTGCAACACTGAAACTGTTTAAAACATAATAGATATAGTGACAGACAAGAAAACTAAAGTAGAAAATTTTTCTGGGCATGGTGGCACATATCTGTAATCCCAGCACTTGGGAAGAGTTGAGGCAAAAGTTGAAGGCCAGCCTGATCTACATAGTGAGTCCCGGTCAAGCCAGGGCTATGGTGAAATTATTAAGGCCACTCCACGTAGTGAAAAGGAAGATTTATTTAGTGGGTAACTTACAAATGAAGGGATAGGTAGGTCGTGGGGTCTGGGGAAGGTGTATCGCAATCCAGCGGTGTTCTCTGGAGCTCTGCTTAGTGGTCAACCTCCACCGTCAAGGGTCCAGGAACAGAGAGAGCGCTGGCCCATCCAGATCTCGGGTCTCCAGGCGCCTCCCTTGGCCCCGCTTTGTAAGCATGACAGTTGCCAGAGTCTCAATGGGGGTTGGAACTTCCAGATCAAAGCTGGAATGGCTACCCACTACACAGGGCTACATAATGAGACCTGTTTTTTGTATTGTTTTAGAGACAAGAGTTTCTCTGTGTAGCCCTGGCCATCCTGGAACTCACTCTGTAGACCAGGCTAGCCTCAAACTCAGAGATTTAGCTGCCTCTCCAAAGGTGTGAGACCTGTTTTGTTTTGTTTTTTTCTTTTTTGGTTTTTCAAGACAGGGTTTCTCTGTGTAGTTTCTCTGTGTAGACTGTCCTGGAACTCACTTTGTAGACCAGGCTGGCCTTGAACTCACAGAGATTCACCTGCCTCTGCCGCCAGAGTGCTGGGATTAAAGGTGTGTATGCTGCACCACCTCCTGGCGTGACACCAGTTTTTAAACACACAAAACAAGGGGCTGGAAGATGGTTCAGCAGTTAAGAGGACCCAAGTTCCTTCCCAGTACCCACTCACAGCCATCTGAAAACAGCTCCAGGATACACAACAGCCTCTCCTGGTCTCTGCAGACACAAGGCTCACATGGTGCACAGGCATGTGTGCAGGCAAAACACCATAAGCACACAAACATTTCAATAAAAAATGCAAAACAAACTAAAAGTTACATACATTTTGATCACAATCGTATAAAAAGGAAATACCTGAAAATTACACTGATTCTTTCTTAGAAGTTCATCTTTAGCACGTTACATACTCACCGCTGATGATGAGAAGTAGGATGCTGGGTACCATGTGGAGTTTACTTTAGAAGAAACCTATGGGATTAAAAAGGATCTGATAAATGCCAGGTGCTGGGGCACATTAATCCCAGCACTCAGGAGACAGACAGGCGGTCTCTGTGAGTTGGAGACATCCTTGGTCTACAGAGTGAGTTTCAGACCAGCCATGACTACACGGTAAGACCCTATTTCAACAAAACCAAAATCTGATAAATTCCGGGCCATGATGGTGCATGACTTAATTCCTAGCACTTGGGAGGCAGAGGCAGACGGATCTCTGCGAGTTTGAGTCCAGCTGGATCTACAGAGTTAGTTCCAGAACACCCAAGGCTACACAAAGATACCCTGTCTTTAAAAACAAAAACAAAACAAACAAACACAAAAACCCCAACAACTAACCAAATGAAAATCCCGACAAGAAACTAGGAGACACAGAAAGTTATGGAAACAATAAATCATAAAGATCATGTCCTGAATTTCCAGGGAAGTATTTTTTTTTTTTAAGTTTTTCAAGGCAGGGTTTCTCTTTGTAGCCTTGGGCATTCTGGAGTACACTTTGTAGACCAGGCTGGCCTCGAACTCACAGAGATCCACCTGCCTCTGCCTCCTGAGTGCTGGGACTAAAGGTGTGTGCTACCACTGTCTGATGTCCTAGGAAGTCCTGATTTAAAGAATCTTTTTAGTCATTATATTGTGTTTTGCAAAATATAGTCACCACAAATCTAAAAAAAGTACTTAATATGATATTTAAAGTAAGTGGGTTTTTTTTGTTTTGTTTTGTTTTTTGGTTTTTCAAGACAGGGTTTCTCTGTGTAGTTTTGGAATTCACTCTGTAGTTCAGGCCAGCCTCAAACTCACAGAGATCCACCTGCCTCTGCCTCCCAGGGCTGGGATTAAAGGCGTGTGTCACCACCGCCCAGCTTAAAGTAAGTGTTGAAGACAGTTTAAATCAGTGTTAATGTAATGAACCATAAATAATATTGTCTATGGCCAATGTGGATACAGATTAAATAGTAATAAAATGTAAATATATATTCACACATACTTGAATACAAATGCTCATAACATCTTTCATTAGCCTCAAACTTGGTAATGACACAAATGTCCACTATTAGATAATGTGACCAGAGAACATATGTATGAAAATATGACAATGGAGGCCATTTTTTATAGAATATATGCTAATAGTAAAATTAAAAAAATGCAATAGTTGAGTATGGAGATGCACTTCAGGAAGCTGATGGATCATACATCCAGTAGTCTGGGCTATGAGACTCTGTTCCAGGGGAAAACGAATTAGATGAAATAGCAGGTGATTTTTTTTTATTTATATAAAACTAGGTGATATAAGCTCATCTATAGCATCATCAGATCTGCAGGTACCCAGGGGTGAAAGGGGCAGCAGTGAGGAGCGCTGAAAGGAACATTCTGTGGTAATGAATACTTTTATTATTCTCTGATACTTCCCAGGCATTAAGGCTTGCCAGATGGTATATTGTAAATATGTATAGATTATTTTGTGTCAATTTCGCTTTAATTAAGCTATTTTTAAAATGGCACAGGTATCTCATGGCAGGGAAATACGTTGATATTTGGTAGGGTTAAAAAAATCAGGGAATTAAGGAGGGAGGCTCAATTATAATAATGCTAAATCTAACATTATATTTCTAAAAAATAGTCAACATATGTTAGAAAAGTTGACTTAAGAAATATTCAAGTGAAAGAAAGCTGGGCTGATGGTTTCTTTGTCCACTGTTCACTCTCAGCTCTTGAGAAGGTGCTTTATGACAATGGTCCCCTTGGTCATTGTCCACGGTCACCAACAGAGAGCTTCACTTCTGCACTATACTATGTGTGTCTCCCTTTTGATGGTGATCACAAGGACCAGGAAGCTGAGGAGAGCGAAGCAAAATCCCAGTGACCGTTGGCTTTTCCCATCTTCACCAGGAGATCTTGGATATTACCAAATGGGTTTCTTCCTTTAGTAAGTTATCTTTACTTAACCCCCTTCAACTCTTGAATCTAGTCCAACCTTCATAACTAAATATCAGTGATTTGTTATCTCCTCCTAAGTCTTCCTTAGACTTGACCTCACAGCAAAAGTGGCATGGTTAATTACTCTCATTTCTTGTCTCCTGTGCTGACCTGGTGTCTCATCTTTCCATCCCCCGGCCCCCATTCTCCTGTTCCTGGCCATTAACTCAGTTGCCCAAGGCTTAGTCCTGGGCTTGCTTTCTTCTTGTTCTGTACACTCTCCTTGAGAGATTCCAGCTACTCCAGTGGCCTAATTAGACTCCAATGATGCCCAGGTCTGCAGTTCTCAGCCAGAATCTCCATCTTCAGGTCATACCCATGGAACTATTTTCATCCCTCTGCTTAGGATCATGTTGGAAAGCTGAATTCCTTTTCCTCCTGTCAATCTTCTTTACTTCCTACCGCCCACCCACCTGAGCAATGGGGTCCTCAGTCACCTGGCTGACCACATCACCTTATCTCCTCCCTTTCTCTATCAGTGAACCAAATATGTCCTGACCATCTATCTTCATAAAAGTCTTTGACCACACCGCCTTCTCCTCTCTAGATTTCAACAGTGACTTTTCAATAAGTCTCATAGTTTCCAATCTTACATGCTCTGAACCCAGTTTCTTCTGTTATTTTGTTTTTGAGACAGGGTTTCCTTGCGTAGCCCTGGCTGTCCTGGAACTCACTCTGTAGACCAGGCTGGCCTGGAACTCACAGAGATTCTCCTGCCTCTGTCTCCCGAGTGCTAGGATTAAAGGCGTGCACCACCATGCCAAACTCAGAATCTAGTTTCTATTCCACAATCAGAGAGAGGGTCTTTCTAAGAGGAAGTAGGTTAGACTACCCACTTATGGCAAACCCTTCCATGGAGCTGGAGTGTAGCTCAGAAGTAAAGTAACTAGCATGTACAAGTTCCTGGGCTCCATTCTTAGCAAAACAAAACAGCAAAAAACAAAAAAACAAAACAAAAAACCCCCTCCAATGGCTTTCTACTGCCCTTGCAATCAAGATTAACATCCCTGGCGCTGTTTAGAAGACTGTGTAGTTCTCCTGCTTCTCTAGTTTCATAGTGCGATTGCTACTTCCTCCTTGTTCTCTGCTCCAACCATCTGGAGTTGGACATTATACTGTTTCGCCTCAAGGTTGGTCCAAGCCTCCTGGACATGTGTATGATGATCCATCATGTCTGAAACTCTTTCATTCCACTTGCCTGGCTCATTCTCAACCCCCTCAGGTTTCTAGATGGCCTTCATCTTTTCTAGGTAGTTTCAACCTCAGGTATGGGTTAAGCACCCAACATGTCCCATTTTTCATTCCACGTTACAGGATAGCAGCTTGTTTAATGATTAAGTGTCTCTCTCTTGAGATCACTAGACCATTGTGTCCTCTGCCCCTAGCCTAATCCCCCTAATAGACTGAGGATTTGTTAATATTTTGCAGAATCAAACGATGAATATTCACCAAGCAATAATTTGTTACGAATATTATTTTATGTGTTCTTAAGGATAGAAAGTGCATGGATCAGCTAATTTAAGCATTCTAGGTCAGCTAAACCTTGTGTTTTAACTTACACACAGCCTTCCTCATGTAAAGAAGATAAAGCAGACAGTGTACTCACTATAATGAAATATCACCATGTAGTTTTTGCAGGGCTAGACCTCATATCTGCTTTGCATTTCTTTTTTTAAAATTTATTTATTTGTGTGTGTGTTTTAATTTATTTTATTTTATTTTTTTTTTATTTTTTTTTTTTTTAGGTATGAGTGCTCTGTCTGCATGTATGCCTACATGTCACCAGAGGGCATCACATCACATTATAGATGGTTGTGAGCCACCATGTGGTTGCTGGGAATTGAACTCAGGTTCTCTGGAAGAGCAGCCAGTGCTCTTAACCTCTGAGCCTTGTCTCTCCAGCCCTGCATTTCTTAAGAAATACTCACTAGTATTATTTCTGAAAAAACTAGCCTCTGATTTTCACTCTCTAGAGCAGTGGTTCTCAACCTTCCTAATGCTATGACCCTTTAATACAGTTCCTAATGTTGTGGTGAACCCCAACCATAAAATTATTTCATTACTGCTTAACTGTCATTTTGCTACTGTTATGAATCATAATATAAATATCTGATATGCAGGCTATCTGATATGCAACCTCTGTGGAAGAATTATTCAACACCAAGGAACCATGACCCACAGGTTGAGAACCACTGCTCTAGATATTCACTTCCTACCTGCTGTTTCCTTTGTCTTCTCCCCTTGGCTAATGACTTGCTAGTCTTGCAACATTCAAACCCAGAATCACCTCTTCTAGAAGCTTGTGCTTAATTAGACAGTTTGAGTTTGGCATTTGTTCCCTGTCCTTTTGGTACTCTGGGCACCCTTAATTGTCTAGCACTTTCCTTGCATTTCAGTTGTGAATATGTTAAAAGTCTAGGACAGTGCAAAGGAAGAAAGGCATGCCAAGATCTAAGTCCTAATTCTCAGCTCCATCAATTACTAACTAGGTAATCTCGGGCCAATGACCTGAAGTGTCAGCTAATTTACTTCACTGCATTTTTCAATTCAAATCTTCACAGATATTCTTAAAACTAGAGAGTAGGCCGGGCGGTGGTGGCACACGCCTTTAATTCCAGCGCTCGGGAAGCAGAGGCAGGCGGATCTTTGTGAGTTTGAGCCCAACCTGGTCTATAGAGCAAGATCCAGAACAGGCACCAAAACTACAAAGAGAAACTCTGTCTCAAAAAACAAAAAAACAAAAACAAAAACAAAACAGAACAACCCCCCCCCACACAAAAAAAACCCCCCAAACAAACAAACAAAACAAAACTAGAGAGTAGTGGAGTTAGGGTTAACTTTACAGATTATCAAGGCATCAGTGAGGCAGGTCACTGGGTTCCATTAAAACTGGTTTTCTTATTTCTGAATGGGAAAGATAATATCTCACAAAACAGAGTCTAGGCTAAATTCTACTAATCCCCAAACATAAAAGATAGGCTGAATACTTAAAATCACTGAAAATTTACCCATTACTTTGTTTGCTAGCCTAAAAAATAAATTAAAAAACTCTGGAAACATGAATTTGATCCTTCATAGTTTCTTCTGATAATCCTCTAATAGTCATGGCTGTCAGAATTTAGACAATTTTCTCCTTTCTGTTTATTTTTCTATTGTTTCTTTTTCTTTTTCCTTTTGTGATAGGGGCTTAGTATGTTACCCAGGTGTTTTTGCTGCTGTTTATGTTAAAGTTTATTTAAAAAAAATTTGTGTGTGTGTGTATAAGTGCATGAACGGAATGTGTGTACACGTACCCTAGGAGACCAGAAACTATCAGATTCCCTAAAAGTGGAGTTAGAGACAGTTGTGAGCTACCCAGTATGGGTGCTGGGAATTGAACTCAGGTCCTCTGAAGAGCAGTAAGCACTCTTACTTATAAATCTTGGAGTTATCTCTCCAGCTTCCAATTTTACTTTTTCGTTTGGAAATTATTATTCCTTGATTTTTTTTAGTAATTGTTTTCATGAAAGCATTTTCGGGCATGCCCTAATACTCTGTTGCTTTTCAATTTCTTCTTCACTTACCCTCCTCATCTCCCCTCCTGCTCTCTGGCTGGTTCCCTCCCCAGGCTAGTTTTGAAGTGGTCTCAAGAGAGTTTCCTGCCTCCGTTTCTCCAAGAGCAGGGCCTACATACATGTGCCACCATGCCCACTTAGACTAGACTTTATCAACATGTCATGTTACAGTAACTCCTAACTGTCTAAGAATTATTTCTGGTCTTTTTCCAAGTCAGTTCAGAGGTTTCCTCAATTTGGTTTTTAAAAAGAAAAAAAAAAGAATATTTGTTTCAAAAATAACAGGCACAGGAAGAGAGATTCTGTTCCTTTGTGCAAAGGACAAAATATCTTACAGTTCTCAGTGACTCACAGTGATAGTAGGGGTTAACAGTGAATGGGGGAGAGAGATTCTGCTCCTTTGTGCAAAGGACAAAATATCTTACAGTTCTCAGTGACTCATGGTGATAGGGGTTAACAGTGAATGGGGGAGGGGGCAATTTCTATAAAGGACTTTAAGAGGTTGGTGATGGGAAATGTCGAGTGGAAATGCTGTCCTGTTACTAGGAAGAGAAGTCAGAACAGAACTAGGGAAGTGAAGTCATGCCAAGCCCCTAAGGCTCCAACTCATTCTCCACACTGGCCCATTAAACAGCATATTCAAACCTGAACCTTTGGTGACTCCAACAATCTAAAAAAATGCACACTTTTCTGCAGTAGAACTCATAGAAACCGATGAATAGAAATAAAACTTATGTAAGTGCAACATTATAGAGGACATTCCCAGGCTGAATGGGTAAGAAGGAGACAATGTTGCTTAATGCAGGATTATGAATCTTGCCAGTAACATAGTAAATCTTGCCTCATAGTCTGAGGCCTTGCTAAAGTGCAAACACACAAGAGGCTATGAAGAAGAAAGCTGGAGATTACAGGCTTGAAGTTTCTGTAGCTCCATAAGTGCCTTAGGGCTGGCTTCTGCAGGGCTCCAATCCCAGTCTTGCAGAGTGTGTGTGTGTGTGTGTGTGTGGGGGGGGGTGTTGGCACCTGAGCGGCTCACTTTGGGAATGTGTCTTCCTAGGCTCTCATTTTCCACCACCTGCTTGGGAAATGTTTAGTCCTTTGAATGAAGCAGTATTAGCATAACAACGTGCCCTTACTTACCTCCAAAAGTTAACTCCGTTTAACTTCGCTGAGAAAGTTTAACTTGGCTTAGAGCTTGTGAAAAAACACTAGGAATCATAATAGTTTGTGAAAACAGCAAGCAAATACAGCTGCCTTTGATGTGAACACCTAGGGTACATTTCTAGGCGATTCAAAGTTCCTTCGTTGACCCTGGTTGCACGTCCCTAGCGAGCTCCCATCCCCCATCCCCACCTCAGATTATGATCAGAGGTTGGGTGGGGGAAGGAACGCTCCTGGCAAAGGAATGTACTCTAAGAAAGGTGACCAAAAGGGGGGAGTTCCTGGGGAACAGAGGTCGCTGGTGCAGAAGTATGAGACCATAGGAGGAACCAGAAAGAGAAGCAGGCCAGTGAGGGACAGCAAGGGACTCAGCTGAACTGGAGGTGAATGGGTCAGAGCCAGAAAAGGAAAAGCTCAGGAGTAAAAGGAGGGAGAGCCAGGCGTGACGGTTCGGGGCTAAATCCAGGGCCAGAGACGGTACAGAGTGACAGCCCGGACGCAGGGTTCTAGTGGAACGAGGGTCGGCAAACGGGGATGGGCCAATAAGTCTGTCCCGCAGGAGCATGGTTTAGAGTCGGGGCGGTAAGGACCCATTCCTAACATCATGGTCCCTCGTCGCCACCCTCACTCGCCTGCAGGATCCGGGTCCGCACTGCTGCCGCTGCCGCCACCGCCGCCGCCATGGTTCACCAGCTCCTCTGCCCAGCTGCCCCGAGCCTCGACTGCCAGTGCCTCCCCAGAAGTCACACCGCTAGGTCACGCCCTCCGCACGGCCAGGCCTTTCCATTGGAGGAGAGGCCCACTTCTCCTAACCAATCATGTGTCAGAACTCTTGACTCCCACCCATCACTCCCAGCCCTGGGGACAGGTGATTGGTCAGAGGCGGAAGCGTTCTCGCCCCCTCTCACTTCAGTCGATTTTTTATTGGCGGAGATGGGGAGACGCCCCCCCACCCCCGACTTGGTGCTGCATATTAAGCACCCAGCGGAGATAGGGAAGACGCCCCCTAACCGGGGACTCCGATTGGCTGCAGGTAGGCACGCCCCGAGGTCCCGCCCCCTCGCTAAGGAAAGTAAATAAGGCCCTGGGAGAATTTTGCCGACGTTCCTCCTTAACTACCACGCCACGGGCGGGGCTGCTGTCTGGGGTGGGACTAGGCAAATATCACCCTATGGGGTAGGGTGACAGGCCCGGGCCGCGCGTTGAGGATAGGTTATCTCTGTAGGGGCGTGGCTTGTGGGGCCTCGCTTTCCCGCCGACGGTTGGCCACGTCACGTGACATGGGCTGGAAGATGGCGTCTCCCACGGACGGTAAGAGCCGGCTTGGAGATTGTTGCCCTGCAGTCTCTTTACTTGTTTCTCTGGGAACTTCCACTGTCTTCATGCTTACACTTGTTTCTTGGGCTCCTTTCCTTTACCTCCCACTTTTTTCCTTCCTTTGGGGTGTGTCGGGTTTTCAGCTAGCAGGGTTCTCACGGCGTCTCCGGAGGTGCCAAGTACCGGGTCTGCCTGGCTGTGTACGAGGTGGGTGAAGGAGGCCACCAACCAGACACTTTCCCGGAAGAAGGACAGTTTGTCCTGGCCCATCGGTGATGCTGAGGGCTCAAAAAGGGCTGCTGAGGGGAAAGGGAGCTTTCTTTCCGGACCGGCCCACTGGAGTGTTGGTTCTGTCCTCATCTCAGTTAGAGGTAGAGAGCGAGTCTCTCAAGCCGTAGCTGTGACTGGTGACTCACAGGAGGACCGGGGTTCATCCCTGGATCGAGCCGGGAGAGAAACATGCTGTCTCCTTCTCAGTTTAGGACCGTTGCCCCGGCAGCAGGAGAAGCGAGGACCTGGTTTCCTAGCCCTGAGTCCCGTGGGAAATGAAAATTAGGCTTGTTAATGTAGTTCGTACGCGTCTCAACCCTTAACCCGCACTGTTCTACTGGGTGCGTTGTTTCCTGAGGCTGAGGACAGGAACAGTTCTGCTTATATGTCATTCAAGATGCAAGTCATCTCAGGTGGCAATTGGGTATTGTCGTTATACCCGTATGCTTTTGCTCCAGGTTCTGTTTTCGTATTTGGAATTGCCCTTCTGTCGTTATTCAGTATCTCAGTATATTCACTGTCAGCATAGTTATTCTGTTAACTTTGCCCGGGCCACACCCAATTATAAGTTCTAAGTCTGTCTTATTTCATAGTTTAATCCTAGGTTTTAGCATAATGCCTAAAAAGCATTTAGCCTTAAGTTAACATTTGTCAAAAAAAATAAAACTGGCCTCGGTGTGTGACCTTTATTCCTAGCTACTTGGGAGATCGAGGCAGGAAGATTTTTGCTTCAAGCTTACCTAGGCTACAGAGGGAATTGTGGGCAAAATATGTCTAAAAAGTTGGGGCTTTTTTGTTTGCTTGATTTTTCTTGACAAGGTTTCTCTGTGTAACCCTAGCTGTCCTGGAACTCATTCTGTAGACCAGGCTGGCCTCGAACTCAGCTCCTTCTGTGTGTGCCACCACAGCTCAGACAGAATCTTGATTTTTATAGGTTAAGGATAGGGCCTGGGGAGCTGTCCCAGTAGGTAAGCATGCTTGCTCTTCAAAGATAAAGACCTGAGTTTGAATCTCAAGCACTCACTTAAAAACCAGGTATGGTTGCATGTGCCTGTAACCCCAGCATTGTGGGAGAC